CAAGCAACTTCCTTTTTCTTATTTTTTGGCATGTCCTAATTTTGAGTTTTACCTTTTTTAAGTTTTAAATTTAAAATTAAAGGTTCCTAAAATGGTGCCACTTGGATAGCCCAATCTGTATTTATTATTATTATTATTATTATTATTATTAATAATAATAATAATAATAATAGTAATAATAATAGTAATAGTAATAATAATATAATTAGGATGGGAGATTAAACAATTCAGCAGCTTAAACCTTTCACTATCTACTGAATATATGTACCTATACTGAGGCAGTGAACATATTGGTATGTCAATGTTTCCTCTGGCTGATGTGGTTGTGGGGTGTTCTATTGCATCACCCCAGTGAGAAATTTCTTCTCTTCCTCTCACCTGCCTTCTTTGCTATCTTTCTCTCTCTCTCTAGGTGCGATTGTGCGATTGTGTTTTTCTTGCCATTTCTGCTTCATGTATCATCACTGGCTTCCATTACAGTGATTTTTGGTGATATGAACTGTGTTGTAAGGTTTTTTTTTTAAAGGAGTAAACAAAAAAATTTGGCATGTTACTTTTCTGTCCTTTCTTCTCTTTCTCTCCTTTCTTCTCTCTCTCTCTTTCTTTCTTTCTTTCTTTCTTTCTTTCTTTCTTTCTTTCTTTCTTTCTTTCTTTCTTTCTTTCTTTCTTTCATTTTCTTCCTTCCATCTTTTTCTCATTCTTGTCTCCATCCTTCCTTCTTTCCTCTATATCCCTTCCTTTCTTCCTTCCCTTTCTTTCCCTCTTTCTTTCTTGCTTTCTTGCACTTTTTTCTTTCTCTCTCTCTCTCTCTTTCTCTTCTTCCTTTCTTTCACCAAGAGTCAGCCCACGCTCTATTTTCTCGCAGGTTCTACTCACATTCTTACTCCCACCAAATTTCTCATGGATCTGAGACACCCCGACTTCAGAGATTCCACTAGGGTCTCTTTTGAGGAACAGGCTCCAACTATGGAATGAGAGCCAAAGAGAACTAAAAAAAGTAAAAGCAATTTATCTTGAGAAGAAACTCTTCCTTTTTTTTTTCTCCCCCAGAAGGGTTTCTTTTGGTATGTCTTGTCATTCCTTTCTTTCTTGCTTTTCCATTGATTTCTTTCTCCCGCCTCCTTTTTCTGATTTCTTTTTCTTGGTATGAGAAAATGTTTGCTTCAAAATGACAAATTTTGAAACTGAATTTGAGGCTGCTTCCATGCAAATCTGGGCCATGATTTTCTTGTAGCCAGAATTTGACTAGAAAGTCAAGTTTTCAAGCAATGTCTGGGCATCACTGTGGATGCTTGCCCCATTGCAAATTCTTATCTGTTGTTCCATGCCTTCCTTTTCTCTCTGCCATAATTCAAGCAGAATTAGGCACTAGAGAGGGCTGGATCACTCCAATCTCTAGGTGGGGGAAACTATGATGGCCTCTCCTGTTTATAACCACCCAGCAACAAATGGAACCTTCTCTGTCTTGTAATTGGGCTACTATGACCTCAGGGCGCCACCAACAAACTGAAGCGGTACACTCCATGGTGCTTCATATCTGGTGTCCTTGTAGACAACCGATCGGTCAAATCTGAGATTCAGTGCTTTCTAACCTCCCATCCGGATTGATTGGATGCTGCAACAAACACGAATTAACCCTTGGGAAAGGAATCTATAAATATCTCTCCTCTCACTCAGTCCCAAAGAATTACGGATATTTTTTTTCTCTTGCTTATCCCAGGTTTCAGGCTAACGTATTAGAAAAAAAATGGCTTCTTCTGGCAAAATTATTCTTTATTTCTTCTCCATAACTTAAAATGATAGTATTTGGCACGTACGGATAAAACTATCCTCTGTTTTAATTTGGCTTCTATGGATTAAAGGAGAAAGGGGCCTTCTCTGAAGAAGTCCTCTTGGCCATTGCATACCCAGATGGTCTCCAACTACTGGCTCTCTCGGTAGATGACGCTCCAGCTCTTGAACTTCATGACAAATTCTGCATGTCTTCCTTCATGTCCTCACTGCACTTTGATTGCTGTGTGATTGGAGGTTTTGGGGTTTTTTTTTACACACACGCACATTTCTTTTGGGGAATGGATGGTTTTCATTTTGATTCATTTTGAGTTATTTTTTCCTCCTGTGCTTAGATGTACTTCCATAGGCTTAAACTTTTGCAAACATTTCTTTTAATATATATGAGCGCATATATTGACATGGGCCTGGTCTCATGACAGGGAAGGGATGAGAGGTGGGTCTCCATCCCTCCTGCTTTAAATCTCAAAAAATCTTATATGCTGAAGGGTGGGCAGTCATCCCAGAAGCTTCTTCAGTTCTGACTGAACTGTCTGAAGACTGAACTCTCTTCACTCAGAACAAAGGAAGCTTCTGGGATGAGAAGCGAAACGTCTTCAAGGAAAAACAAAGTCCAGCTGCCTTTTGAAAAAGCAGTTTTGGGACAACTGTGACCTAGATGACCGAGAATCTCCATAAATGGGTGACATGAAGGGTGGGCAACTTTTGAGTTTTCGCTCCCCCTCTATAAAATCTTTCTTTACCCTTCTTCCCCCTTTTCTGCCTTCGGAGTAAATACTTCGTGGGGCGGGTCGCCCTTTTGAGCCGACCCTAAAGCTTTTCAACCTTTGAGGGATGGGAGTGAGTGGGCCGGTGGGGGGAGACAGAGGCGATCCCAAAAACGGCTGCCACGGGCGCTCTGCAGTCATCCAGAGGTTGAGGAGCTGCTAGTCCCCACAACGCAGCTAGCCTGGCAAAGGATCCTGGTAGCGGTAGTCCAGGGAGATTTGCCAAGTCTCAGATAGCCCACCCTTGATTTAGGCGCTCTTCTGCTCTTCCTTTTTTGAAATCTGATTGTCTTCTTCTTTTTCTTTCCTTCCTCCAGGTTCCACACATGTCCTCACCCCACAGAAATTGCTGGATACGCTGAAGAAACTGACCAAAACGGATGAAGAAAGCAGCAGTTAAACTCTTAGCGTCTTCATTCTTTCCCTCTCTCCCTCCTCCTCTCTCCCCCACCTCTCTCGTCGACCTGCTCCCCGAACATCAACCAAATCGTTGAAAATCTGGCATTGCGGTTGACTTCCGGGCCTCCTTTCCACTCTGCCTCTTCTTGTATTTTAATGCAAAACCTTGAAGTTTCTCACGATACCTTGCTCGTATGAAGTCAAGCTAAATAGGAAACAATAATAACATATGCATTTTGTCTAAAGGTTGAGCGGAGGAAGATAAAGAATAATATATTCTATACTATAGATATTATCTCTGTATGTACCCAAGAAAATAAAACTGTCAGATTCAACTGCCCATATTGGAAGGTCCCATCGCTTCATCATTGGAGATAAGACAACGGTGATTATGTTTTCAATACCGTCTTTTGGTTCCCCCCCCCCTTTTTTCTGTTCCCCCCCCTGCTCGGATGGATGAATGCTTGTGATTTATTTATGGCTCTGTGATCCTGTACTAAACCCCCGGATGCAAACTGTGAATATTGTCTCCTAGGCGTTGCAAGTCGCTTGCATTTTTGAAAATAACCGTTATAACTTTCCTCCTTTTCCCTTCTCACATCGCTGTCGTCGGGGTTGTCATCTTGATTACGTATTTCTTCTACTTGGTTTTGTTCCGATTATTTTTGTTTTAGTTCCTTGATATGCAGCCAGGCTGGCTTTTGAGAAATAAACGATATATCTATATCTATATATGCATATATTTTCTGGATGTTACTCGGTTGTTCTCCTTCCTCCTCTTCTCTTTTGGGATTATGTCATATTTGAGTCATGTTTTTCCACCAAAGTACGGCATAACTTTCTTTCTCAAAGCCTGATCCACAAAGATCGGTTTTCCCTTTCTCAGGTCTCCTGGTGGCTTTAAATTTCGCTGAGGGATGCTAGTCAGTAAATATCCTTTGAACCTCACGGTTGTATTTTGTGCAAAGAATTAAAAATAAAAACCAGAGGGACATAATTTGCTTCTGGAAATCATTTGTCCTCTATCGGTAAGATTTAGAGCTTATTTAGGAGACCGAGAATAATTTTCTCCTTATTACCTTTGAGCTCATCCTACCAATTCCCGCAAGGAGGAATAAGCTGAGAAAGAGAGCGTCCGCACCCTGAATCCCGCAATTAACCCACTTAGTTTTAAGATGAGGTTCCCAACGTAGCTCAGATCTGCTATATGTCTTTTGGGGTCGCCCCAAAGGTGCTTTTTGGAAAGGCATCTGGATTTTCTGTTTTTCCCCCGAGAAGACGTTTCGCTTCTCATCCAAGAAGCTTCTTCAATTCTGAACTGAAGAATGAAGAAGCTTCTTGGGCGAGAAGCAAAATATCTTCCAGGAGGGAAAAAAAACAGTCGCCTTTTGAAAAAAGCACCTTTGGGGCAACCATGAGTCATCTTGGATGACCGAGACTCTCCATAGACCAAATCCTCATTCCTTCCAGCTTGCTTTTGTTCACCATCTTCCTCGGGTGAGTTTAGAGAAGGCCTCTTTCCCCACCCACTAAACTTTATTTTATCAGGTTTTGGTTTCACGGTTGGTTGATTGACCCAAGAAGAACTTCAAGTCTTCAGATCTTGTTCTGCCTTAGAAGGTGAGGATCCATCTCTGCATCTATCTCTCACTCACTCTAGCTACCACGTTGTCTTCTATCAAGTCTTTTTCATTCACTTTATCCTATATCTATCTATCATCTATCCTTTCTCTCTCCATCCTTCTACCTGTCACCTGTCTACTTCTATCATCCCCCCATATATATATATATTCTTTCTCTCTCCATCTATTCTGTCATCTGCCTGCCTGTCTCTATCATCCATTTGTCTGTTTGTCTATCTATCTATATCTCGCCCCCTTCCTCTTAACTGCCCAGCGCAGGGAAGAAGGAGAAAAATATCTATTATTGCGTATAGTTTTGAAACTAGCGCTCCCTCGCTCTTAATATTCCATCTTCTTAGGATGAAAGTGTTTTTCCACCAGGAGAATTTCGCACCGCAAATTCTTCAGACTCTCCCTTTCTCAGTCTCGCCTTGCATAAATCTCTTTTTATATACCACGGTGATTCTAGAGAACGTCTTTCATTTCTTGTTTGCTTTAGTAATTTTATTTTTTTGTTCCTATAATTTAATTGTTATTTATATTCCAATGATTTATGATTGAAAGGGAAGGGAGCGGGGAAAACGCCACGTTCAATACAGAAAGGGTTAACCGGATGCTGTCGTAAGACACTTTCATTTCTTGAAACGTCAATGTTGAAGCACAAAACGTGTTCTTTCTGTATCGCTGTTCTGTATTTTAAAAGCACTCAACAATAAAATTTGCTGTCCTGTCCAAAAAACTGTGAGCGGCTAGTTTGTGAAAACATCAGCCCGATGAAAAGAACTATGAGAAAATGCGACCTAACGCCGCATTCTAATGTCACTTCCAAAGTCCACGACATCGATACATTTTCAGGAAACACTGAATTTTTAAGCTATAGGCCTGAAACCATGCCAGCTAGCTGCTAAGGAAAGACACAGAAAAAAACACCTTTTCAATGGCATTTTTTTGAAACCGGATTCTTTCTCGCGTGCCTGTTCCGCAGCAGCCTGGAATTGGAAAACAGAGCCTTCCTGTGGTCCAAGAAGGTATAGAAGTCCGAAAAAAACCCCTTTTAACGGGTTCTTTAGGCTACTGTCCTGTATCTTAATTATTAACACCTTATTAATAGG